TCTCACCATCTCCTCCTCGCTCGCCCCTTGCTGCGTCGCCGCCGCCGCGGGAACTGGCGACCCCGCCGCAGGCCTGACCCCCGAGCCCTCCGCCTCCTCCACTTCGCCCCCCTCAGCCACCTCCGCCTCCGCCTCCGCCTCCAGCACCGGCACCGCCTCCGCCTCCGCCTCCGGTACTGCCTCCGCCACCGCCTCCGCCACCGGCACCGCCGCCGCTGCCTCCTCCTCCGCACCTCCGCCCTCGGCGCCTCCGCCGAACCAGCCGAAGGGGCTGAGCTTGGCGACGGCCATCGATGCGAGGCCGGCGATGTTGCCGAGGTGGGCATCCGCAATCTGCTCGAGGCGGCCGGGGTCAGGGGAGAGTCCTGACTGCACGGTGGGCATCCGCAATCTGGTGTCATCCGGAGCGTCTTCTCGTGTCTGCAGGGAGTGTCCGGGTAGAAGGGAGGCACGGGAGTGTGTGAAAGGAGTCCGCATATCTCGCCTGCTCTAGCGGGCCAAGGTCGGCGGGGTCCTCCTCGGGCATCCGCTTGCCGAAGAGCAGGCCGGCGGCGAAGCGCTGCGGCAGCTTGGCCGCACGCTCGTGCAGCAAGCTCAGCTCGTCGCGAAGCTTATCGCGCTCCTCCTTGAGGGCGTGCGCCGTCTCGTCGGCCACTGCCCGCCGCTCCTTCTCCGCCGCCGCCTCCGCGGTCGCCCTCGATGCCGCCTGCTCCGCCCCCTGCAGCCCCGCGGCACCGGCCGCGGCTGCCGCACTGGCAGCCTCGAGCTGCGCACGCAAGCCGTCGGCGGCGGAGACAGCGGCGCGCCGCTCCTCCTCCGCCGCCTCCCGCACACCGACCAACTCTGCGTCCGCGCGCCGCCACCCGCGCCGCCTCGGCCGCCGCCGCCGCCTCGGCCGCCGCCGCCGTCGCGCCCTCCGCCGCCGCCCGCGCCGCCGCCTCGTCCGCCGCCGCCGCCTCCGCCACCACCAAGCGCTCGTTCGCCTCGGCGAGCCGCGCCTCGAGCCTGTGTCAAGTATTGTCAAGGTGAGCTGGGTCTGCTGGCAGGGCGTGTGCTACGAAATGCCGCGTGTGCTCGCGATGCCCAACTGTGACATGATCCCACCCAAGATCACCCGAGATCACCCGAGATCACCCGAGATCACCCGAGATCACCCGAGATCACCAAAGTTCACCAAAGATCGCCCGAGATCGCCCGAGATGGCTCGGCACGACACGTGTGATGGGGCAAGGGGGGGCGACCCTCGCATCTCCACGCCCGGACACGGGCAGGAGCCCCACGGCATTCAAAGTGCAAGCACCGGCCCGGTGCCGTGGGTGAGCAACCTGCACCCCACTCCCTCCCTCCCAGACACAGGACCCGCACAAACCCCCACAGCGTGGACGACTGCGTTCAGAAACACCAAGCAGCGAGGCGAGGGTGAAGGGGTAAGGGGCTGTGTGGGGCAGAATCTACATCTGACTACTCCGTCTAGCCTGGGGGGTCGCAGGAGGGGGGGGCAGAAGGGGTAAGATATGGGTGAGGCCAGCTAGTCGGAGACCCTGTCGTCGGAATACTCCTCGGAGCCGGTGTCCTCGTCGTCGTCCTCGCCCGTCGAAGAGGTCGGGCGAGAGGTCTGCATCGTCTCGCCAGCCTTGAACCTGAACACGGCGTCGGCCGGCGCTGAGGCGCCGGCGGCCGTCATCAGGTGCATCACTATGCGGTCGCGGTATGCCGCATCGATCTCTCCGTGCTCAGCCAGCTCGTTCGCGAGCCAGTCCGAGGCGACGGTCGTCGGGCCACGGTCCCCTGGGGAACCGAGCGAGCCGGCCTTTCCGGCTTTGCGCTTTCGACCTCAGCTCGTCGTCCTCAACCACAGCGTACAGCTTGCCTTCTTCCGCTTTCTTTCTTTCTCTCACACGCTGCCGGGCCAGACAGCATCGACGGGACACACACAGAAACTTGCGGGTTGCGGAAGCGAGTCAGTAAGTAAGTCAAAGTGTGCGACCGCGCGGCCGGGGGCGCGCGCTCTATCGCCTCGGACTCCGCACGTCGGGGCGGAGACGCGCAAACGAGCGGCGGTCTCTGTGTGCCACACACCAGTCAGCGCACGCGAGGCTGATGCGTACTGTAGACGACGCACGCCGTCTGCTGCACCCCTCGCTCAGAGCACAGTACGATCGTGCACTGCCCTTTCCTCTCGGCAAAGAGAGGCGCGAGCCAACGACACGGCGAAGAGCGCCTCGTCTCCACACTGTCGCAACGCTCTTGCTTCAAACCACCGGAGGGACCGAGCGGGCGGGCCCAACGATCTCGAACGGCTCCGATCCGCCGCAAGCGGCGGGAGAGGGGGTGGCGAAGATCGAGCGACCAACGCCTTGCTTTGCAGTTGCAGAAAGCTCCGTTGATGGCTCCACTGGGAGAGGACGCTTCGTCCCCGCCGCCGGAGTGGAGGCGAGGCCATCTGGCGGCGAGCGGGCAGCACTGGGGATGAGCGTCGGCGGGTTCGAGCGCTCGGACGCAGGCGGGTCCTTGCTGGCTGGCGTGCACGGTTCGACTGCAGCCGGCGCCTCAGGCTCGGCCCGGCGGATGGGGAGCGGGGAATCGCCGATGCGGGGCGTGCCCTGCTTTGCCGGGCTGCGATCGTCGAGCGTTCCAATGTCGCCGGCCATCTCCGACGCCTCTGTGGATGTCGCGCGGCCGTCCACCTCTTCGACGTCGTGCGCCGATCCGAGAGAGGACATGTGGCGGGTTCCATTGAAGCAGAGCGTGAGGCTCTTGAAGCGCTCCAGGTAGCGCTCTCGCTCACGCTGAACGTGCTCGAGCTGCTCTTGAGCCTCGATGATTTGCGCGTCGAGCTCCTTCGCACGGGCCTGCACGGGCACCAGCGCGGCGCAGACGTCGCGGTCGACCTTGGCGAAGAGGCGGTTCATGCCGGCCACCGCCTCGTCCCGGGCCGCCGCGATGGCGCCGTTTTCGATCTGCATCTTTCCTTTCACTCCTGGCTATCGCTGCAGTATCACAGGGCAGCACGGCGGCGCTTCTAAAAAAACTGCAGGTTCACGACTGAGAATTCAACCCACCTCTCGATCTCTCGCCCCCGCGCAAAGGCTCGCGGTGCGCAAGCCTCTCTGCGATGATCCATGTCGCAACGGCGGAGCCTAGGTAGCGGCGAGCCTCGTTGCTGTGTGTGTGTGGACTTTGCTGAAATCGCGGGGAGCGCCCTTGGGGGCGCGTCACTGACAATAGAAGAGAACAACTCTCTCTCTGACGATCCATCTTGCGCCGATCCTGTCCAGAACGTGCCTCGAGGCGCGCGCATCACGGCGGGTCGGCAAAGTCGCCGTCGTCCTGCTCGCCGTCGTCTCCCGGCGCCAGCATTGCGTCATCGAACTGCGCGCCAAAGAGCTCGCTCACCCTCTCTCGCAGCAGGGGCTCGTAGAGGGAGATGCTCTCCGCGACCCGCAGCTTGACGAGCGCCGACGCTGGGTCGGGCACGTGCGAGATCACGAAGCTCCAGAAGACGCGTGCCGCAAGCCCACACATCTCATCGGTGCTTCCGGCGCCGTTCCTCGCACGCTCCACCAGCATCGCCACTGCGTCCGGGTCGCAGAGCGATGGCGGCAGCTCTGCGTCGGGCTCGCCCGTGAAGAGGGCGACGACACGGAACGCGACACGCCGTGTCTCGCGGTCGCGGTCCCGCGCCTGAGGGTAAGGTACAGCTTCTCCATTATGAGAGGATTACGCTATGGGCCCATCCCTCTCGCATCATCTCTCCCGCGCCTTGACGAGCGCCACCTTGAGCACCTCCTCGGGAGGGAGGTGGGGAGCGACGGCGAGCAGCAGCCGCGTCGCGGCGAGGCGAACCTTGCCGACTGCGTCGTACATGCAGGCGCCCACCGCGGCGTTCATCACCGACCCTCCGAGCGCGGCGAGGGCCTTCCTCCAGCCACCCTGCTGCTGCGCGTCTTGCTCGCCCTCGGGAGCCGCCGCCGCCGCGAACTCCTCCCAGAGCGCGTGCAGCAGCCGGATGGAGCCGAGCCGGGAAGAGCTGTCGGACTCCTCCTCGAGCCGCTGCCTCGCGGCCGCGCAGACTGGCTGCGAGACCTCCTGAAGGCGCCGCCACGCCATCTCGACGCGGCTGCTTTCAGAGGCGCCGGAGGGAATTGTGGCCAGGCGCACCATTTTGGGGACCAGCCGGGCCTCGCCGCCGCTCGCCGAGCCTCGCCGCGTCAGCTCGGCCGCACACGAGAGGAGCGTCGCGCGGAGGCTCGCCCCGCCATGCGCGTCCGGGCCGGCGTGCGCGGGAGGAGAAAGGGCAGCGCCCAAGAGCCTCTCGATGCCGGCACGCTGCAGACGCTGCTCGACGGAGAGCGACTCCTCAAGGCAGAGGGACGCGAAGCCAGCGAGGAAGGAGCCGAGCGCCGAGCGAAGGCCAGAGTTGAAGCCTGCGCCGCCGTCAGTCGTGCAGGCGAGTCGCGCGAGGGCACTGACCGCTACGCCGAGGGTCGCCTCGTCCGCCCGCTCGTACGCGCGCTGCCAGCCCTCGAGGACGGCCTTTGCGGCGATGAAGTCGGGCGGAGGGTGGGAATCGGGGAGGCGAGGCAACGACATCGTTTTTTCGCTTCGTCCAGAGAGCGCGCTGTTCACGCTCCTGCCAGCGACCGGAGAAGTGCTGCACAACAACAGAGTACATCGTCTCAAGGACGATGTGGCCAAGCGCTGGAGGTAGCGTGGCTTCACCTCACACCGCCTAGTCTCACTGTTTTCCCGCCACCCGCAGTCGCCAAGCATATCAAGCGAGTGTCGCGTTCGCCGCACACTGACATCATACTAACTTTACTCTTTACACTACTCACTAGCCAGGGCGGCCAGCACGGGTGACTGAGAGCTCTCCCCAGCACGCAGCAGGGCCAGTGAGCTGTGAGGGCGAGTTTCCGTGTACTGATCCACATCGGTCGACGTACTGTAAACTAGCGTTACTACGAGCCACCAGCGCCACGCCCCTCGTCCCGTGGCCTCCCACGCCCACCCCGCCCACCGCGCCCGCCCCGCCCACCCCGCCCACCGCGTCCCCCTCGCCCACCGACCGCCGCCGTGGCGCCCACGGGCTGAGCCTGGGGCACGGTGCGCGAGGGCGGCTGGTGGACAAACGTCGCCTGCTCCGCCACCAGCCGCCCAGTTGCGGCGATGGGCAGCGCCGGCTGGCGGCAGGCCGGGCAGTTGGTGTCGCGCTCCAGCACGCGCGGCGCACATGTCTCGCAGTACAGCGCGTGGCCGCACGCGAAGCGGACCGAGTGCGGCGCGTCGTAGCAGAGGTCACACTGGCGCTCCTCGGCCCCAGCCGTCTCCTCCACCTCCCCCGCCGCCTCGACTAGCGCCTCCAGCCGCGGCAATGCCTCTGCGAGCGGCATCCGCTTTCTCTTCCGCTCGTATGCCAGCCCAACCACCAGCCGCGCCAGCTCCTCGGCCTGCGCCGCCGACCAGCCCGCGTCGGCCGCCGCGATGCTCTCCGCCGTGTCCGGCTCCTCTAATGCATCGTCGCACGCGTTGAGCAAGCCGAGAGCGCCGCGGCCGGTCAGGGCGACGAGCAGGGTGATGCCGAGCGCAAAGCCATCAGTGAGCTGCGAAGCCTGACCGTCGTGCGTTATGATCGAGTCCATGTAGCCAGGCTTCCCAAAGATACGCTGCGTCGACAGGTGCGAGACCTGCTGACTGCTGCCGGCCCCTGCCTCTGCCGCTCGCGCGAGGCCCACGTCGGCGAGGTAGCCGTTGCCGCGCTCGTCGAGCAGGATGTTGCCCGCCGAGACGTCGCGGTGCAGGATCATGGGCGAGAGCGTGTGCAAGTAGTGCAGCGCTCTCGCTGCGTCGCGCAGCACGCGGAGCCGTGCGGCGGAGGAGAGCGGCGGAGGCGGCGTCTCGAAGCCGAGCATGCGGAGCCGCTGCAGCGCGGCTGGAGCGCGGTAGAGGCGGTCCTCGAGGCTGCCGCCGCGGCAGAGGGGGTAGACGAGGCACGCTCTCGCCGGCGCCAAGCAGACGCCGAGGAGAGGGAGCAGGGACCGGTGGCACGCCGCGCTGAGCGTGCGCACCTCGCTCTGCAGCTCGGCGAGGCCTTGGGCGCCGACACCGACCAGCGCCGTCTTGACGGCGAACCCGCAAGCGACGCGCGGAAGCGACGGCAGCGCGTCGCAGCGGTAGACACGCCCAAAGCCTCCCTCGCCCACCTTGCGCGCCTCGGCAAAGCCGTCGGTCGCCGCGATGAGCTCGTCGAGAGGGACGGCGGCGGGCGACGCGGTGGCGGCGGCGAGGGCGGCGACACTCGCAACCGCCGCCGCCGACGCTGCCGCCGCTGCCGCTGCCGCTGCCGCCGCCTCTTGAGCCTCCGCCGCCGCCACGGCCGCCACTGCCGCCTCGACAGCCGCCGCCTCCGCCTCCGCCTCCGCCTCCGCCTCCGCCCTCATCCTCGCCTCCTCCCTCTCCCTTGCCGCCTCCTCCCTCGCCCTCGCCTCTGCCTCCTCCCTTGCGCGCGACGCCGCCTCCGCCTCCTCCGCCGCCCGCGCCGCCGCAGCCTCTGCTACCACCCGATCCGCTTCCTCCGCCACTCGCGCCTCCGCCGCCCGCGCCTCCTCCGCCTGCTCCGCCGCCCGCTCCGCCGCCCGCGCTGCCGCCGCCGCCGCCTTCTCCTTCTTCTGCCGCTGCCGCTTCAGCGCCCTGGCCTCGCGGGTCTTTCGCTCCGCCAGCTCGTCGCGCAGCCGCCGCGCCGCCCGCAACGCCTCGGAACCGTCGGCGGCTTCGGTGTTTGCGTTGATCGCCGCCCTGAGCGCCTCGAGATCGGCGTCGCCTCGCTCGCACGCCTCAACCGCCTCGCGCAGCGCAGCCTCGGCAGCATCGCGCGCCTCCGCCGCCTCCTCCGCCGCTGCCGCCTCGCGTGCGGCCGCCGCGGCCTGTTCGGCTGATTCTGCGACCGCCGCCTCTCCCTCAGCCTCTGCTGCGGTCGACGAGTGCTCCTCGAGGGCGCGCACGCACTCGGCGTGGCCCTCCTCCTTGGCCCACTGCAGCGCCGTCTTGCCGCTCGCACTGCGCGCCGCCGTGTCTGCGCCCGCCCGCAGCAAGCGCCGTACGACGGCGGGGCGGTTGAAGAGGGCGGCGAGCATCAGCGCGGTGCCGCCGTCGCTGTCCTGCAGGTTGACCTCAGCGCCATGCTGCAGCAGCAAGTCGACCACCCGCTCGTGGCCTTGGTCGGCGGCGAGCATCAGTGCGGTGCCGCCGTTGCTGCCCTGCTGGTTGACCTCCGCGCAGTGCCGCAGCAGCAGCTCAGCCACCCGCTCGTGGCCTTGGCCGGCGGCGAACATCAGCGCGGTGTCACCGTTGCTGTTCTGCAGGTCGAGCTTCGCCCCACGCCGCAGCAGCAGCTCGACCACCCGCTCGTGGCCTTTGCCGGCGGCGTACATCAGCGCGGTGTCACCGTTGCTGTTCTGCAGGTCGAGCTTCGCCCCACGCCGCAGCAGCAGCTCGACCACCCGCTCGTGGCCGTGCATGGCGGCGCCCATCAGCAGCGTGAGGCCGCTCACGCCGCTTCTCTCGTACGTCGCGTCGACCCGCCCGCCGCCCTCGAGCCACGCCAGCACCGCCTCCTCCTCGCCACGCTCCACTGCTGCGATGACCTCGTCGGGGGCTGCCGCGGCACCGCTCGACGCCCGCCCCGCCGCCGCCGCTGGAGGTGGCGTCTTCGCGACTCTCGATCCAGCCGAAGAAGCGCCGCCGGGGGAAGCGCCGCCTGCGCCTTCGCCGCCGGCTGCCGTCGCCGTGGGCCGTCCCGCCACGACCGACTCCTGGACGTGCTTCTTGAAGGCCTCGACGCACTCGGCGTGGCCCTTCTCCTTGGCCAGCTGCAGCGCCGTCTTGCCGCTCTCAGCGCGCGCCGCAGTGTCTGCGCCCGCCCGCAGCAAGCGCCGCACGAGGGCGGGGTGGTTGAAGAAGGCGGCGTACATCAGCGCGGTGTAGCCGTTGCTGTTCTGCAGGTTGATCTCCGCGCCGTGCCGCAGTAGCAGCTCGACCACCCGCTCGTGGCCGTTGTCGGCGGCGCCCATCAGCGCGGTGACGCCTTTGCTGCTCTGCAGGTTGAGCTCAGCGCCGTGCCGCAGCAGCAGCTCGACCACCCGCTCGTGGCCGTGGTGGGCGGCGAACATCAGCGCGGTGTCGTCGTTGCTGTTCTGCAGGTTGACCTTCGCCCCGTGCCGTATCAGCAGCTCGACCACCCGCTCGTGGCCATTGCGGGCGGCGCCCATCAGCAGCGTGATGCCTCTCACGTCGCCTCTCTCATACGTCGCGTCGACCCGCCCGCCGCCCTCAAGCCACGCCAGCACCGCCTCCTCCTCGCCACGCTCCACTGCTGCGATGACCTCGTCGGGGGCTGCCGCGGCACCGCTCGACGCCCGCTCCACCGCAGCCGGCGACAGATTACCGGGCCGCACCCGCACGCTCTCGCCGCCGCCCTCGAGCGCCACAGCGTACCGCCCGCCCTCGAAGCTCCGCGCCACGCCCCGCTGCCCGTTCAGCTCGGGGTGGGAATAGAGGCCGCCGAGCACGACGCGCTGCCCGAGCAGCGGCGCCCCGGCAGGATCGCCGCCGCTGGGCTTGCAAGCTCCAAGCATTGCGTCCTCAATTTCTTTTTCTGGTTCTGCTGTGCCTAAGGGGTTGCCGTCTGCTGTGCTCCTTTTGGTACCTGTGTCGAACCTGTGTCGGTGAGAGAGAGTTCTTTTGTTGAATTCTTTTCTCCCTTCTCTGTAGGCGCGAGGAAGCGATCAAAGGCGGAATGTTGCCGTAGAGCAGAGCAACTGGCTGCTGCACCTGGAGCACCGGCGAACGAAGCAAGCAAGCAAGTGCGATAAACGCAGCGTGATCAGACAGACAGACATCAATCAGAGAGAGAAGAGAAATAAATAAAAACGGACAGACACCTCCCTACTGTGAGATGGGTAAAAAGGAACAGGCCCCCGCCCTTGCGATCTTTGTGCAGGGTTCTTTGTGGTTGTGGTCGGCGACTAGCCGGGGTCGTCCTCCCGATGGGGGACTAGCGCACTAGCCGTCTTCCACATGGTCCCTCGGGTCCCTGCTGCTCCTAATCTCTTCGTACATCCTCCTGCTGATCTCCGCAAAGTCCTGCTCCCTCCCTCGTCTCGCCCTGCGCGTCTGCTCCGCCTCACCGTCTTCTGCCCTGCGTCGTCTGGCGACGGGTCCTCCATAGTCGGTCGAGGTCGCCGCCCTCCTCGTGCCTCTTCCCAACGTTCCCTCGGCGGCCGATGCCGTCTGCTCCGGCTCCCCAGTCCCCGGCTCTGCCCTGCTCTCGTCTGCGCTAGTTTCTGCTTCGTCCTCACCGGCGTCTCTCCTCTTCCTTCTCCCCTTCTTGTATGCTTTGCACATCGCGTCGATTCCTTTTCGCGTGAGCACCAGCGCCTGAAGCCCGCCCAGCAGCTGAACCGCTCCCTAAGTCGAAGGAGCATCATCAGTCTCACCCACTTCGCTCGCTGCCCACCGTCTCCGCTCCCTCCCGCTTGAGCCGCCGTCGCGGCCCTCGTTCGTCCCACTGGCTGTTGGCCCGTCCCTGCGTTGCCTGCGTTATCCCTCCTCCTCCGCGACTCCCTCAAGGCCGGCCGAGCCTCTTTCCACCCAGTGAAGAGCTTCCTCAGCCACTCAATGTGTTCCTCTCTCTTCATTATGCGCGCCGTAGCCTCATCATTGAGCTGGATCCACCTCTGCACCGCTCCCGTCGCCGCCTCGGCCACGATTTGCAAGTTCCTCGTGACCCCGGCGCCAAGGTCCCTCCGGCTCTTCTCCGAGAGATCATCTACCAGCGCCGGCAACACCCCCCCGACGGCTGGGGCTAGTGCGACATGCGCTATCCTCAGCGTCTTCAGCGTTCGTATCCTTGGAGTCGGGTGCCGCCTGGGCTACTTTGCTGATCGCCGTCCCCGTCTGCGGCGCTCGCGCTACTCTGAGGAACCATCTGGCCTGCTCCCTATTCCCCAGGCAGGCGCCGCTAAGCAAGTGCGCCATCGTCGCTCTAGGCGGGTTCTCATCTTCCTCGGTCCATTGCTGCGCGGCTTTCCGCACGATCGGACACAGCGGGTCTCGCTTTAGTGCCGCCCTCCTCGCCGCGTCCCTCGCGGCTTTACAGACGAGGCAGCCCCTGAGTTCCAGTTCGCTCCTTGTGGCGGCGCCCGGGGTCTCTCTCCCCGCCTCTCCCCGCATAATCCTCTCGTGGTAATGGTTGGGTAGTAGGGCTAGAGGGTCGCTCTACACTTAGCCTCTGCAGCGAGCGAGCGCTCAACTTAGCCCCCGCACGGAGCCGGGCTCAGACTTAGACCCTCATGGTCGGGGGCCATGAACTTAGACGACATAAGGCCAACTCCGGGTAAAACCCGGGTATACCTGGTTGAATCAGCTTTCAGGTTTACCC